GCAAGAGGCCAAGTGCTACCTGTCACACCCCCTGACCATGCCCACCCAGCCAGTCATTAGGGCAGAGAACTGGTTGTTAAATTATTTGAATCCTACCATTGGCCCCCACCAAGGAAAGTTTCTCGGGCTCCCCAAAGTTACAAAATCCTACTTCAGTGTGACACTAGTTTGCAGATTGTCAGGACAAAGATGTTGAAATATGGGATCCTTCAACAGTCTTTCCCCTGCCCAATCGCTTATATAGTCTTTCCTTCTTCCCACCTCTAAGTAGCTAATAAGCATTTGTGAATCAGGCAAAATCTGACTCGAGTTCTTGATGAGATTTAAAAAATGGACCCAATTATCAACAGCTTTCCCCAAATTGGTTTGAAAAAGGCCTTATCTGAACAAATATGGAGTGATCTTTTTCATTCTTCTGATTAAATTGGGAAAGTTGGTTTGATTTTGCATTCTGAACGATACAAAAATAAAATTAGGTTTACTCATGCAGGCCACGGATTATATCAGCACAAAATTTAGTGAATTCCTTTTTAGTTTTAGGAACTTGCATATTGCATACAGCTTATATGACTCAAACTAAATTTTAGAAGTTTTTTCAGGAATCCACTTCTGAAATTTTATGACAGATAAATCCTATAAAGTGGAATAACTTAATAAATAAGTGAAATAACTGGAAAAAGAGGACTAAAATAGGAATAGAAACAGTACTACGGTACTGATTGTATATACACACACTCTCTTCTGCTCTATCTCTAACAATGCTGCTTTGCTCAGCCAGCTGAAATTTTATGGGTCATGTTTTTGTTAGCTACCTCATGTTATTAGCAATTTTTCAAGTCAGCCGTCTGTGAAGGGTTTGTCTGAAGTGCTACACAAATCAAAAAAGTGTCACCTTGCCCCGGCCCCCTCTTTTTGTACATAGTTTACCCTTATAATTTATTTCCTCTACTAATCAGGAAGAGCAAAAAGAGAAAGCCAGATTATCAAAATTAAAATTGCTTAGCGGACCAATACATTTTCATTTCCACGTTCCACTTCAAAAAGTTTTTAAAACGCCTCCGAGACAAAACCAGCTACATTTCAGCTTTGATCCACAACTTAATTCTGCATGAATTAAAAAAAAAGTGAAGGCTTTTAGTTTTTTCCCCCCAGACTTCTGAAAAGAAAATAAATTGGAGGAGGGCTGTTGAAATATAAATCAATTGTCCTTTCTCCTAACTGAAGTATAATACATTAAAGCAGAAATTAATGGAAACATAATTGAAAAAAACGAAAAAAAGTTTAACTGGGGGTTTCACTTTCAAAAAATACTTGGTTGCCAGAGAACGATCAGAATTCAAGACATACCTATTTTCAGATAGCCAAGGAGGCTAATATTTATACAGTTCCACATATTTTATAGTATCCTATCCATTTAAAAAGGAGCCTGTCTATCAGAAAGGTGGGCAGTTCAGAGGTTCGAACCCCTTGTGCTGTGTAACGGAGTGAGCTCCCGTTAACTGTCCCAGCTTCTGCCAACCTAGCAACTCGAAAGCATGTAAAAGTGCAAGTAGAAAAACAGGGACCGCTTTTGGTGGGAAGGTAACAGTGTTCTGTGCGCCTTCGGCATTGAGTCATGCCAGCTACATGACCATGCAGATGTCTTCGGACAGCGCTGGCTCTTTAGCTTTGAAACGGAGATGAGCACTGCCCCCTAAAGTTGGGAACGATTAGCATATATGTGCTAGGGGAACCTTTACCTTTATCCATCTAAAATGATTTGAAGAGCTCCGTTTTCAGGGAATGTTAAATTATATTTGAAATTTTGTAATCCACACATAATCTTCGGCTCCTAAATTACCATGGCACAAGGAACCAAAAACAGGAACACCAGGATTTTTTTTAACCATGCTTTATCACAAAAACATTTCTCTAGTCCAGCCTTTTCTCAACATGGTGCCTTCCCAATACATTAAACTATAATTTCCAGAATTCCCAGCTAGCAGGTTAATTGGGAATTTGGTGGGTGTTAGATTGAACAAAATCATTGTCAATACTTCCTTTTCACTGTGTCTTAACTTCATAGTGTATATTCTTTTTGCTTTTGTGCCTTTTCCATAGTTCCAGAAAAAAAAGGGCAGGAAATCTGAACTTGCCACTTATGAAGATTTTATAGTTCTGGGACACAGATTGAAGATACAGGATGTAGTCAATTCACAGAAATAAAGATCACATGTGCCTTAATCCAGATTCTTCAAGAAGCTGTTTGCATGTTGCTTGTGTTGGGGTATAAATGAAATAATAGAGATACACAACAAATCCACCTTTAGGACCAACACTTAATACCAACCTGAATCCAAACAGCAAGATTTTGCTGTTCAACATTATGCCTGATTTAAAGTACTTCCTTAAAATACCTGAAGGTGAAGTTCAAAGCAGCAGCAAAACCTTAAAATACCTAAAAATGAAGTTTAAAAGTCACAGCGAAACCAGAACAGGGTCATCCATTTTACTTGCTTCCACATCACGCTGAAAACAAGCAGCAGAGGTATAAAAAGTGACGGATTTTCCCCCTGGATCATTACCTGCAATCAAAAGGGAGTCCATCCTGGGAGGAGGCTGTGGCGGCTTGAAGAGTTTGTTCAAGTCTTCCTCAGGAAGGGGAGGTTCTCCTCTACTCTGGCGCTGTAGGTTTTCTTGCTGACGTCTCTGCTGGTACTAAAGACACACAAGAGTTCAATGGATCCTTTGATCCAAAGGCCATTCCTTGGAAATCATCTGAATCACGGGTAACCAACCTTTCGGACCTCAGGGACCACTAAATTCATGATTTTAAAACCCGCGGACCACTAATATGATCTGCCTAATGACCAGCTGGGTGGGCGTGGCTAGGTGGTCATGTGACTGGGTGGGTGTGGCCAACTCGATGTCACTCACATGGAGGGGTGCCTCGCCGGCCTCTACTTGCCCCTCCCCTCCCAGCCACTCCTCGCCTGCCTGCCCAGGCTGCTTAGGGCCCCAACAGGAAGCAGTTGATGGAGCTAAGCAGCTACCATGAGAAAGAACTGGCAAAACAGCTGGCTCAGTTCAAATTGGATCGGACCGACAAGGAGGCTCAGCAGAAGCACCTCACCGAGGACTACGAGCATAGGCTTTCCAAGCAGAGGAAAGACCTGCAGGAGTACAAGGCCAGGTACCAGGTCCTGGAGGCTCAGCAGGCTGAGATGGTCAGCGGGTTCCAGGCAAGACCCTAATAGGCCAGCCTATTTGCCACTTCGGAGAACTTGCAAATAGGCTGGCCCTGCCCCCACTGCTTCCCAGCTGATCTTCTTTTGTTGCCCTGAACAGGAGAATGGAGCTGAAAAGCAGGTTAGTGGGGTGGGGAGGGAATGAGGATTTTGCAGTATCCTTCCCCTGCCACACCCACCAAGCCATGCCACATGTACCAAGCCACGCCCACAGAACCAGTAGTGAAAAACTTGAATCCCACCACTGTTTAGACTGTCATTTAGACGGTCAATAAGAGAAGACTGCATTTAACCTCTTTATTTCAGGCCTACAAGGGTCCTGAGTTCAACAAAGGCAATATTATATTTTATATACCACATCTGGATTTCAAAATGCAGAGTTATATTCCTTAGGAAGGCAAAATATACTTTAATCCACCCATCTCCTTTTAACACTGTGCAACCTAAAGCCACTATTACAAGCCCTACTGTGACCCACAGATCTTTAATTGCTCATAGAAAAATGGACGGGCTCAGACTTAAAAGGGGAGAATGTGGGAAGATTCCAAACCTTAAACTGAATTGCCTGGCAAATAATTTCTTCTTAAGAGAAACTGACATAGTTTGAAAAACTACTTTGAAGGAGAAATCGTGAAAATTATAGCCTGTCTTCTAAAGTGGGCTTAGCATAGTATGTGATGCAATCCTAATCACTTGGCATCACATCCTGCCTACTGCAGCTCTCTCCTCCATCAAAATGTTGTCACTTTTGAGCGTTTAATAGAAAACTGTCCACTCTTACTCTTCATTAAGCTCCCCCAAATCTTCACATCTTAATAGCCATAGGACTAAATATCTGATTTGTACAAGGTGTGTAAGTAAATCAGTCAAAGGCCTCATGATGTAGTCACACATTAATGCTTGGAAAGTAGATGGGTTAGCTTAGCTTACTTGTGCAAACCTCACCTATTATCTTAAGTTTGTGACATGATGGAGCTATGACGTTAGCAGAAACTATGTTAAGACAGTGACCAATTTCAACGATTGATTTACTATTTCAGCTTTTTATGTACAAAATCAGAAAGGGTACAAGGAGAAAAAGAAGAGCAGAGTAGGTAGGTCATAACATTAATTTAAAATGAATGCAGCTTCACTTTCAATACCGTTTGAGATTAGTAAAAGAAAGAAAGCAGTCTGCAAATATTCTCAATATTCTCATTTTTAAGAGAGAGTTACGTATTATTATGAGGTATGGAGACAGGCAAAAGAGCAGATTTTATTCTCTGTCTTGCCTGTCCCCCTTAAATGGCAAACATTTAAAGCTTCAGCAGTACAGATTTTGTTACACTTCTGGCTGGTGAATAAAGAAATGTCTGGTGACATTTTGCTGCTCGATAGCAGAACACAAAATGCATCCAGATTTAGAAAATATGAGGGAATAAGAGCATAAACCTTTGTATGTCAGAGAGAATGAAAAGTGGAAAGAAATGGGAAGGTGACAGGGAGAAGTGGAGAAGGAAAGAGAACAAGAAGGGGGAAAAGACATCCATAAAATGTATTTTTATATTTCATATCAAACAGGAAATCCCCCCCCCCCAAAAAAAAATTGCTTGTGCTTGTATTCAACTGTAGAGCTAAA